TGGTTCATTATACTACAAGAAAACAGATCCTGCAACAGCAGGGTTGGCCTCCAACTATTACCTAAAAATTCTACTGCTAATGCAAGTCTTGCTATAACCAAATCAAAGAGAAACATCTTCCTTACATCATGATTATATGGTTTCTTCACCTTATTCACTTTTCGGCGGGGTGAGGGGGGGGAACTCTCCAATTTAGGTGTAAACATTATTTCAGTTACTAATGAACTGTTTCAATCTACTATTTCAATCTACTATTGTTGCCATAGCATTTTTGTAGTCCAACGTGCTATGGCAACCCAACTATTTGATTCTTCTCCTCTACCAAGCTATCTTAAGACAGGCAAATGGCTGAGAAAATTAGCTTTCTGACAAGCCATCAAGGAACAGCCTGGTATCCAATAACAGTTACAAAAATAAAAGCCAACCCATTCAAAAGAGGGGGCCAAGCATAGTAAGAAAGAAAAGCAAGCCTACAAGGCTTGAACACTGTTTCAACACATAGAGCTTGTTCTTAAATTACAACACTTGCTGAAATTCTTTGCTTGCGGCTCTCAAGTGTCTTCATTAAATATTACTTACCTGAAATTGTGAGCTTGCCAAAATGGTTTATTCCTGCCCACAGGGTAAAGCTTGACATAGCCTCCACACATATTTTAACTTTTCATTTCTTCAATTCTTTGTAGAAAAAGATTCAGGAGGCTCACTGGTGTAAAGTAAATTTACATTTAGGGCCAGATAAACAGGTGGAACACAGTGGAGACACCAGCTAAGTGCTTCATTGCCTCCGTCACATAGACTTTTCCATTTTTCAGAACTGTTAATATGTTGCTTAGTGCTCTCTCCATCCTCCAGAATCCTCTTAAGCATTATTCAAACTAGTAACAGTAACTGCTTCTGTTCCAGGTTTATTGCATGTTTCAAAATTCAAAAATTAAACTAATCTGGTAATAAAGCAGATTATTCACCAGTGTGAGGGGCTCTCTTCACAAGTAGTTGCTGTAACCTTCAAAGAACTAATCTGTAAAATACTGCATTTTCCCTTTTCTCTTTCAAGAAGAAATTACAGAAAAGGGAGAAAAAGAGGAAAGAGATAGGTTAAAGAGAACTGTATAGAACAGGGGTAGGCAACCTTGGCTCTTTTATGACTCGTGGACTTCAACTCACAGAAACTGGCTCAGGAATTCTGGGAGTTGAAGTCCATGAGTCATAAAAAAGCCAAGGCTGCCTACCCCTGGTATAGAAGAAAAGAGCAAAACTGTTGGATCCAAAATTCCCCTCCACCAAATTATTTCTTCATAGTGCCAAATACAGGGGGAGATCACCTGGCCTTCTACTTTCCATCTCATTCTGGTGCTGTTCTATACATCAAAAGGTTAAGACTGGGATTTATTTGTTAAAATTAAAGACCACCAATCTCACTACCAAAATTCCTCTGAGAAATGTACAAGGAATAAGCAAAAGTCATTCTTTTTAAGATTATCCAATATTATATCATTTCCAATAGTTCTGGAAAATTCTGTAGAAATATTAAGATAGATAGATAGATAGATAGATAGATAGATAGATAGATAGATAGATAGATAGATAGATAGATAGATAGATAGATAGACAGACGACAGACACAGACAGACAGACAGACAGAAACAGACAGACAGACAGACAGACAGACAGACTATTGTTCATGTCACACTCCATCACCCATCCCCTGCATTTGTCTGCATTTTACCCTATTGGGCTAGTTAACTTTTTTGATATTTGCTGATGTTTAATAAACACCAAGTTATAGTTTTACTAACTATTTTGAATGGCATATATGCTTTCTCTGATCTCAATTTGACCTGAATGTGGAGACTGTTTGGGAGCATCCTGGGTACAAACTCAATCTGGAAATTATCCACACTCATTTTCCAACAAAAGCTTCACTTAGGTTTTACAAAAAAGGGTAAAGTTTACTAGCCAAATACTGTATTTGCTGTCTTTAGGCTAGCTCAGGGGTAGGCAACCTTGGTTCTGGCTCTGGGAGTTGAAGTCCGCGAGTCATAAAAGAGCCAGGGTTGCCTACCCCGGTAGCTGTTAAAAGCATCTGTATTTTTACAGCAGCAATGCAATCATTTATATTTCCTGTTTATTCCTTGATTTTTCACACTTTTAAAGGTGGTATGAGCCTTTGTCCCACCCAATGCAGGGATTAATTATTAGAGGCCCAAAAAAGTTTTTAATATTGGGTGATGGTGGTAATATGGTAGAGCACTGTGGGATTTACAGAATGTACAGAAATGTTATCTCAGTGGGATCTGATGGTGTCTCCTTCAAATCACTACCACCAGCATAATTTGAAACCTTAGGGCAGGGGTGTCAAACTCGCAACATCATGTGACATGTCGTGATGTATCTTGACTTTTTTGCCATTGCCGGCAATAGGGTTTTGCTATGATGCATCCAGCCCGCGGGATGGCAGTTTGACAGCCCTGCCTTAGAGCTTTCAAAGCTTGACAGAAGTTCTTTGAATTTGCATTAATCAAGCAAGAAATCTTCTGGTGGTCTGTTTTTGGCATACTATGGAGCAAACTTAAACATTGTCATAGCTAACCTAAATCATGCACACACACACCACACACACTCACCCATTCCTCTTCCAAGGTTGCTTTTATCCACAGATGAGAGAATTTTTTGCAAATGAGTATTCCTTTGGTCCTTTAATGTTGCAAAACTTTGATTTAACTGGCAAAACATATCATAAATATTAATCAAGACTTCAGTAATCTGAGCCATAGCCAAATGTAATATAAACTGTGTGGAGAAGAGCAGCTGAATTCCTATGTGTAGCAATCCACTTGTAAAGAAGGGGAGAGGAAAAAAAGCATTGTCTGCAGCTAGAATGTGGTTGGTTGATTTGTAGCTCAAAGTATTGTATACTTTCAAAGTCCTCAGTCATGGACAAGGCACTAATTCAATCTTGATCTCTAATTTTGGCCTAAGGGTAATTAGAAATTAGCTATAGGAAAATCTGAAATATCATAATTCCATAATATCTACATGTATTATTCTTTTCAAGTATCTCACCTAAAATCCAGACAGTAACATGTCTTCCTGTTCATACTAGGTACTTGCTTCAAGACAATCCATACACTTATTTAGTGAGTAATTTGTAGTAAAAAATAGTCACGATGTGTTAGCACCAGTCACAATATTACATTGGCTACAGCAGGGGTCCCCAATCCCTGAGCTGCGGCCCACTACTGGGACTTAAACTCTTCAGAACTCAGCTACGGAAGGGGCAGGCAAGCATATGCACATGCCCATCCCCACTTGAAAGAGCAGCGTTGCCTGCCACTCACATGGAATCATTATCTCTCCTTCTCCCAGCCAGTCCTCAAAACCAGAAAGGTTGGGGAACTCTGGCCTATAGAGTTAAAAATCTGGGAATGATTTGGAGGAACACGTGATACATCCCAACATTTGCTGTCTAATTTAAAAAAAAAAAACAAATATTGCCATGACTTCATAACAAAAAAAACTTCAGAATTAAATCACAAAACTGGACTGGTAAATATATTTTTCAGTTTTGTTATCACTCTCAGATTTTTGTCTACACTGTACATATACTGTAAATGTTTATGATGTACACTTACCGTTTTAAAATAACCACAGACATACACAAAAGAGTGATGGTAGAAAAGAGCAAATGAAACTCCTTGTTTTTAAAGTCAGGATATGAAGACTTCCCTATTCCTTGATTTAGAATTGGAGAAAGTTCTCACTAGAGGAAGGTATCTAACCCTAAAACTTAAATAAATATTATAAGTATAAAGAATCCTGAGAACAATACTTCTATTTTCAGAAACTTTAGAATGGTTAAATAAGAACATAACAAAACCCCTAAAATTTTGTGCTGTAGCCATCTGAAATTTCTTAGATCCTGAGACAGCTTAAAGTAAGCAAATATAAAATGTTAATCAGCATATAAATAATACAAGCAAGTATGACAAATAGGTGATAAATAGAATTCTAACCATGCTGGAATAATTTGAACACACTTTTGATGTATTACTAGGAACAGATTTTCAGGGCAGACGTGTTGAAAACGTCTTAAAATAGCAGTCTTGACCAATGATGTCTTCAATTAAGAGGGAAATTCAAGTACTAGTGTTTCCTAATTGTATTTATACAAGGATAAAATGTGTTAGATACACAAATTACAAATGAATAATCCAGGCCTCAATCAATTGTCAGATTTTCTTTGATTAGTGACCACCTGGCCTATTCCCAGGATTCTTCGTAACCCAAAGGATGTCAGTGGGTACATTCCCTACTTGCCTGAGTTGGCTGAGGGGATTGAGATTTTTGGGTATTATATTTCAAACAACTTTGAAGAGTACAAGCTTTACCCAAAATTGTATTACACTGACAAGTACAAATGGTCTGATTAGTCCATGGCAAGGTCTGAGCTGTTTGCACTGCTGAGGACCATATGGCATAGACATTTCAGAGGAACTCTGAACAAACTAGCACCCAGTCCTGGAGAAGCATCATTTCAAAGTTCAACTGACTCCCAGCAAAAATAATAGTGTAGATACAGTATGTTGCTGGAAGAAGAATGGAAAATAAGGAAAAGTACAGTTCTTTTCCAATGGTGCTTTCTTTCATTGTTATTGTTGTTCAGGGTAGTGAACATGCAACCATAAATTTTAGCCTAGTAGTTTAGTGAACAAGTAATTCACTTAAAAAAAAAATCACATATTTTAAATTGTCGAAACAATTAATGTATATTATAAAGGTTTGCTTCTAGACGTCAAATTGTCTTTGAGATTGACCACATGAAAATAGTAAAACAGGATTATTCTTATTTATTATTATTAATAATAATATGTTACAGGTAGTCTTTGACTTACAACAATTTGTTTAATGACCATTCAAAGTTACAATGGCACTGAAAAAAGTGACTTATAAAGTGTCTTCACCCTTACAACTGTTGCAGCATCCCCCTGGTCACATGATCAACATTCAGGCACTTGGCAGCCAGCATGTATTTATGACAGTTGCAGCATCTTGGGGTTCTGTGATTGCATTCATGTCCTTCCCAGTTAGCTTCCAACAAGCAAAGCCAATGAGATTCCTTTACCACTGCCCAATTCACTTAGCAACTGCAGTCATTCACTTAACCATGGCAAAAAGGGTAGTAAAATTGGGCAGGACTTACTTAACAACCACCTTGTTTAGCAATGGAAATTCTGGTCCCAATTGTGGTTGTTAAGTCAAGAGCTACCTGTATAGCCAACCACGCACATTGGTGAATACAAAACAATACAAACTGTTAGAAACATACAATCTTATAGGCAGCCCAGATTAAAGCCAATCAAGCAATAACAAATGTAGTGAAATAAGAGGCCTTACAAAAATATCAACCCCAGGACTGTGACTGAAGGCAGGTCTTAATTGTTTTGGGGAACCATAGGAGAGAGAGACAGCATTGTCTGGACTCTCTCCCACAAGATGACAACATTTAATAGAAAGGACCTGGAATGTATGATTTTGCTGGAACATATTGGGCAAGCAGAAACAGTTGACGATTGGACTTGGGGACTTGAGAAGTAATAAAGTGCTTTATAGGTAATGTCCAGCATTTTGAATTGTACCCAGAAGCCTAACTCACAACACAAATGCTGCTCACATAGCAGTGGTGACACATAGGAATACAGGAAGGCAGACATTATTGCTCAGGCATTTTGTATCAGCTGTAGCTTCCAGGTGGGCTTCATGTAGAGCACAGAGCAATAACTCAGTCTGCTTACTTAAGATTTTATCCTAACTGTTCTTCATAATTCAGCTATGGACCTTGGGCAGAATCTGAAAACAGTTTTTCAAAGTGTAAAGCAAGCAGAGACCAGTATGCCAGTATTTCATCAGATTTTTCATTTTCATGTCTTTGCAGATCTGCAACCTCTTTTAGTATCATAAACTAGTGTCCTTCAGTGTTTTGCCACACAGGTTTACTACCGACAAAGCTAAAAATCAATATAGCAATCCCTTCTTAATAAGACGCTAACTTGACTTGTATTATCATTACCGTAAGAATCTCTTGGGCAATCTTTCCTCATTTTTATTGTTTCATGTCAAATGTGGTGTTTTCCAGTTTATGCTAGTCAAGCACTGATGTCTGATTTGCCTACAATAAATAAATCTCTCCACTCCATATGACTACAAAGTAACATGGGTCTATAGCGTCCATCGCCTGCCTTCCTTCCTTCTTTCCTCAAAAGGGATGATAAAGAAGAGTAATCCACCAATCAGGAGCCATGGTGAAAATGGTCCAGAAAGAACACTGGGCATCACAATAGCCAGAATGGACAAAGGGACTGAAATCTGAAAAGTTGACTTTATTTCTAGCCAATTGACACACAGGCATCAATCGGGATTAGTTCTGTCTACAAAATCCACTACTTCCCTGGTGCTAATCACCTTTCTAAAAGAGACTTTTCCTATTTAAATATGTCCATCCAAATACTGGTAAGGCTGATGTGCTGTTATGCTGCCCATAAATGTTGAATGGTAAGATTTATACCAATAACAACATTTTGTCAAATTCCTATCACAGAATTGCACAGGTTTGGGTTTTTTTACGAGGACTTTTTTAAAATACAAGGATGGTTCTTGAGTTCTGTTTTATCTTTTAGGGAATTGGTTGTAAAAAAAAAAAAACCACTATCTCAAGGCACATTGAATAGAGTCAAAAGTATTTTGGAAACCCATAATATGGAGCAGCCACCCTGGTCTTGGCCATCTTTTCAGGAGCAGAACATGGACTCATAGGTAAGTATGAACCTCCTTGTAATACAGTTGCACAAAAAGAGCTGCAGCGTTTACAAGTTTTCTCCGACTGGAAACCATCTCCACAAACTAGGCATGGAGTCTTCTTGGTTTCGTTCTGTAGACCTTTAAATAGAGAGCAAACAATAATTCCTATCAACACTGAATCACATAGCTTAATGTGTCCCACTTAATGCGTTTCTACAAAATAAAAAGTAAAACAAAAAGAAGTGGTCTTTGGGTCAAGGGTATTTGGACTCTTAAATGAAATACACATAAAACTTTCTCTAACTATTAGGAGTTGGGCTTCCAACAATTTCCAAGCTTGAGATGTTACCTCTTTAATTAATTGTTCGCCCTACAAGCATATACAGATAGTCCTCAACTTACAACAGTTCATTTAGTAGAAGTTACAACAGCACTTATGACCATTTTTCACTCTTACAACCGTTGCAGCATCCCCATGGTCACATGATCAAAATTCAGATGCTTGGCAACTGGTTCATATCTATCACAGTTACTATGTCCCGGGGTCACCTTTTGTGACCTTCTGACAAGCAAAGTCAATGGGGAAGCCAGTTTCACTTAACCACTGTGTTATTAACTTAACAACTGCCAGGATTCACTTAACAATTGTGATCAAAAAGGTCATAAAATGGGGCAAAATTCAGTTAACAAATGTCTCTCTTAGCAACAGAAATTTTGAGCTTAATCGTGGTTGTAAATCGAGGACTACATGCTTAATCAGTACATAGTGTTACTCATGGTTCATATGAAGCTGTTCATCCTTCATTCCCTCTTTGTTATTATTTTGACAGCCTATGGGGATTTTTTATTCTCTTTTATCAATAGACACTAGACCTAAGTTTATATGGCAAGGGGAAAAAACCAAGAATCAGATATAAACTACTGAAAGATGTTAAGGAAAGAGGGGGTTTGGGTTTACCAGATCTGAAATTGTATTCCAATGCTTGTTGTTTAGTCTGGCTAAAAGAGTAGGTGAACCTCCAGAATAAGAGGCTACTTGATTTAGAAGATCCTGAATTAAGATTTGGATGGCGCTGTTATTAATGGTATGGCAAGGTTAAAGTAAATGTTGATTTGAACAACTAATTGGTTAAACGTGCCATTCTAAGAGTTTGGAATAAATATAAAACAAGGATTTTTTATGAAGATGCCTCTCTGGTGTTTCCCCCCCCCCCCAGGAAGCTTTTTTTTTAGAAAAGAAATGGTGCCCAAGCCAGACTGGTGGACTTAAGATAAAGTAATATCTTTTAATTTTGATGATCCTATCCTCAGGTCTAAGGAAGAGCTAGAATCAGAAGGACATGTCTGCCACTGGTTTACATATTTACAATGAAAGAAAGATTTAAATTAGACAAAAAGCCTTAGGGGTTTGAATTTTGTTAAAAATGAATTGAAAATCCTATGTGTGGTAGTGATGAATATATTATTGCTAAGGTCTATAAAACATTATTGAATTTGAATTTGGAAAGTGAATATGTAAAGCATTGTATGATTCAATGGGCAAGGAATTTTGGATATAATATACAGCCTGAACAATGGGAGAATATGTGGGCAAAAGGTTTAAAATTTATATTAAATTAGAATTTAAAAGAAAATTTTTATATGATGATGTATCATTGGTATTTAACACCAGATAAGTTATCAAGAATGTATAAAGGTATTTCAAATGAATGTTGGAAATGCAAATGTAAAGAAAGGACTTTTTATCATTTATGGTATACATGTGATAAAGCAAATAAATATTGGAGTAGGATTTATATTCTAATACAGAAGATTTTAAAAGTGAATATTATAGATAAAAACCAGAAACCTTTCTTTTGGGTTTAATGGAAAAAGACTTGGGGGGGGAAATGTTGGAACTTTGATGTTATATATGTTGATGGCAGCAAGATTACTTTATGCACAAAAATGGAAGGACGCTTCAATGGATGAAGGGGTGCATAAACTGATGGAGTTAGGTTAGCAGAGATGGCTAAATTGACTGCTTCAATAAAAGAAAAAAAACACAATTACTTTTGTTTCTATTTGGAAACCCCTTCTGGACTTTGTGCTTGAGGTGGAAAAAAATGAAATTTTGATTTTGGGTTTACTGATTAGATAGACCTGTTGTTATAGAAATGGCTAGTTTATACTATTATGTAAAAGTTGAAGTTTGATGTTACTAACTTACCCTACTGCGCCAAAGGGATTCAGAAGTCATTGGCTTTTCTTTCCTTTTCCCTCCTTTTCTACACTTTCCCCTCCCCTAGTTTTCCTATTATTTGCTTTTGTATTTTTGTATTTTATATTATCAACTAATAAAAAGGATATTTTTTTTTAAAAAGGGGGGGGGGACAAAAAAAAGACACTGGTCCAGTAAAAAAGTAAAACCCATCATGCCTTGTTAACAGTACACAAATATCTCCCTAGCATTATTTTATAGCAGTTGTTTTTAGAATCCAACCGAAGGTTATAAAATAGTGTTCAGTTTTTTGAGTTTGCCCAGTCAAGGAGGAAAAAGAAGGGAAGAAAAAGTAGCTGATTTTCTGTATATATCATGCCAAAAGTCTTACGTGTATCTCTAAGTACAATCCCAAATGCTGTATATGTAATTTAAACATGTGTAGTAGATTTGTATTGATGGTGAATAACAGAAGAGATAATAATAATTCCCTGGGAGAAATGCAAGAAATAAAGATGGTAGTGAGCAATTTACCACCATGGTTATATTGAGCAGTGAAATGTAGTGCCATTTCATTGACACTTCCAAAGCATCTCTAGTTAACAGGGAAAATGACATGGGTGACTTTATCCATTCATATATTAAAATGTTAGCATCCTGCATGAGGATGTAATCTCATATTGCAAGTATGCAAAATCAGGCTTCAGTGGCTTGATTGTGAAGAAATTAGTCTTCAATAAACTAGAAAGTGGGAATTATCTCCACCTTGCAATTCCCTTAAGAACCATTTCTCCATTAAGTGGAATGCTTCGTCTTTATAAGAGGTTTCCTGAGTTAGCTACGAATGCCCTTCTTTATTTAAAAGAAAGAGATTATAATAATGTGTTAGGGGTACAAGTCTTCAACAAAACAGATGCAATTTTGAAGATTAGATTTGGACCTTCTAAGATATTTTTTAAGAAAAGAAACACCAAAGAGTTTCAGTCAATTTGGAAATGCAGGGATGGGGAAGGAGGTTTCCCACCTTGACCATCTGAGAATGCAATCAAGGAGATAGTTGCTTCACCTCAGAATTTACATGATGTCTCCATGTTTCTTAGTGCAGACAGGAAAATTTCGAGAAGGGAAATGTGGCACAGAAAACACAATGCTTAAGCTCTGCCCCATGAGGACAGATATCACCTAAAGATTTGTGTGCGGAGCGTTTGAGGTTAAATTACCTTTGAGTCAAGCTGGATTCCTGATGACTTATGTGGACGCAAATGTGCAAATATTTTGGCAATACAAAAATGGTTTACTAAGAGGGAGAACTGGGAAATTTATCAAAATTATTTGAATGAAATCAAAATAGTTTATGTGTCTGTGTGTGTCTGCATATGATTTACATATTTATTGTACCTGTATTTTTAGAGGGCTGAAGTAATGCCCAGTCTAATGAATTTGAATTTGGAAAGCTGGTGGCTGCTTGATTTCCAGTCTGCTGTCTGGGTTCTTTAATTGCCTTGGACTTTTTTTTATCAGGCATAATTGCTGCTTCTTGGAGAATAGTTATGTGAGGGAAGTCTATGATTTTGATGTGCTTTTTGTTAGTCGACTTTACTTTAGTGCTTTTTTCAGACTTCTTCTCAAGGGTCTTTGGCAAGGTGCAAAGAGTGCTATTTCCATGTTTTACTTTTATGATTTGCTTCTCATTGATAGGTGGAATTGAATCTCCTTTACTTTCCTGATTAGTTGAAGACTGCACTATGTTCAACAGAGGTTCAATAAAATTAAAGTTACTGATGACCACATGCTTTTTCAGTTTCTTAACACCGATTCCTTCCACAATGAGGTCTGTAGAATTAAAGGGTGGCATATCCAACATGGGCTACAAAATAAAAAAAAAAGCCAATGTTTCATTATTAGTTTTACAATTTGTCTTAATAAAATAGGTATTAGTTAAGAGATGCTTATTCTCTGAGTTCTGGATTAATGGAGAAATGGAAAAGGCCTGTTAGTTCCCATCTAAAAATAATTATGACTCCTCTCTAGATATCTATTGAACATCCAGTTTATTTTTCCAGTCTCATTTTTTTTTAGATTTTTATTCTGCTTTTTTTTCATATATAACTCAGGGTGGAAAATATATCAGCATTTCTTCCCTATTTTCTCCACAACAGCTCTGTAAGGTGAGTTGGGCTGAGAGAATGAGTGGTCCAACATTACCGAGCCAATTTTTCATGCCTGAGGTGGGACTAGAACTCAAAGTCTCCTGCTTTGTAGGCCCACACCCTAACCCCTATGCCATACTTTTTTATTTCTAAATAAAATTTTATTTAGAAATAATTAATTTTATTTTATATTTCTAAATTTATTTCCAAAGAGGTATTCCAAAAATCTTGGAAAACATTTCCCTGGTGCGAGCCCTCATAATCAGCCCTGGAACCTGATGTTTTGATATAATCAGAGCTATCTTTCCTTTCCAAGATTATGTATTAACCTTCGTTTGATTGTGCTGAATACTTAGTGATTCAATGCCTTTTATACAGATTGGTACAAGCAGGGGCTTAAACCTGTCTGAGGCTACCTCATGCAAAAGGGAAGTTTAAACTCTCTCTCTCCTCACCACTTCTGCTTTTCAAAATCTTTCCACAACCACGTTTGGTAGGAACATCAAAAAAGAGCCAATTATTATTTGGGGAAGGGGTTGCATTTACATTTCAGAGGAGTTTTCAGAATAAATGAGCAATGGGAAGTGTTTTATTAGGTGCATTAAAAGCAAAAGGAGAGCTACACACAATGTAATGTATTTTAATAGTTTAAATTTATGAAAACTATCATAATGGAATACAGGTAGTCCTTGACTTATGGTACAACAGTTCATTTAGTAGCTGTTCGAAGTTATAACGGCACTGAAAAAAGTAACTTATGACCATTTTTCACTCTTACACCGTTGCAGTATCCCCATGGTCACATGATCAAAATTCAGATACTTGGCAACTGGTTAATATTTATCACAGTTACTATGCCACGGGGTCAGTCATCACCTTTTGTGACCTTCTGACAAGCAAAGTCAATGGGGAAGCCAGATTCACTTAACAACCATGTAACTTAACATGTAAAATGGGACATCATTCACTTAACAAATGTCTCACTTAGCAACAGAAACTTTAGGCTCAATTGTGATCGTAAGTCGAGGATTACCTGTAGTTAGGGAATGGGAATGGGAAAATCCAGGTTCTTGTTTTGCTTTAAACATGGGAATCAGCTAAATCAGGGGTGTCAAACTACTGGCCTGTGGGCTGGACGTGTCATCCAGAAGCCGCACCCACCCCATTGCCGGCAATGGCAAAACCGGCCCGATACATTGCACGATGTCACATGACGTCACAAGTTTGCCATGTCTGAGCTAAATGATTGTGGGCCAACCACTTCTCTTAGCAATAACTGGCATCAAAGTTTGTGACAAGCTGACTGATGAACAGAGCCTCTTGTTATATCGTGCATTGATCGCTTTGCTACAACTCAGCAAGCATGAGGCAAAAGCAAGTGAAACCTGCAACCCCATGTAACAAATGCTAAGAATAGCAACCAAAAATGTTTGGCTTTATATTAGCAAGCCTAAAAAAGATAAACTATTTAAAGACACCCAGGGAAATAAAATAGTATAATTCCTACACTAAACCAGCACTATGTCAAAATGCTTTCAAACTTACTAAAATTTATTATTTGCATGAGGAGAGGACCTTTTCCTGAAAGTAGAATTTGATATTTCTCCATTATTATTCATATTCTGAAACCATGGTTCTAATTTCTCTAACCATAGTTAGATATACAATAGTTATAACTGAACTGTTTTGTATACTATTCAGCTGTGGAACAAAATGAAACACTACTTACTTGTCTCCACAGAAGTTCAAAATTTCCAGTTTCACAATTTTTGTCAAGCTTCTTGTCAAGCACAACTTTGATTGTGTCTTCTTGCACTTTAGCACAAAGGTCCATTGTAATCGGAGTAGAAGGATGCATAGTTGGGCTACTGTTGATTTCAATCAACCAAGGTTTGAAATCACTGCCAAGAATGAAATCCGCTCCATACAGTTCAAAGCTGCTCCTTCGTGGTTCCACTTGCTCCTGAGCCATCTTTATTATATATATTAAGATTTTTTTCATAGATGGATAGATGATGTTGCACCAAACATGGCCAAGGCCTCTCTTCTGCAAATACTCTTGGAATTTGCTACTGGACCACATGTTGTGATATGGCAACTGAGAACTACGATCTGATGCATTTTTGTAATTTTTCTGGACGAAATTATTACAAAGATGAATGGAGCTGTGGAAATTAAAGAGACCAGTTAGTCTTGTGTAGACATTACACCAAGTACAAAATATGAACATAAATACTGTACCAGGGGAAAATTATAAGAATGATCTGTTGAACTTACTTTTTTTTCCTCTTACTTTGAAAAAAATATATAAGTACTAACCAGAAGGGACTACTTGTAATTCAGCATCATTTTAAAAATAAAGTAATCATGAGTATATTGAAATTATTCTGTGATCTAATGTAACATTAAAGAAATACAAATGTTTTGCCCCAAAAAGGTGAGAGAAGACTAGATAATCACACAGTAGAAGTCTGATCTGGTGCCAAGTTTTTGTTTTTAATAGGCAGCCACATAAATATTTTAAATAAATAATTATTTACCTGAAATAAATCCTTCTATAGGATATTATCCATATACATAATCACATATCATACAATCAAAATTAGAAGTATAATCTTGGTTACCTGTGAAGATTTTCTAAGGAAAACCGTTGAGTTGAAAATCTCAGATAGCTTTCTTTGTAGAACCATATAGTCAGTGGGTTCCAATCTGTTACAAGAAACCACTGCCTAATATCAAATTTTGTATCATAAATGAGGAGTGGTTTCTCTATATACTTTTGGACAACCCACTTATGATCTTTAATTGGAAATTGATCAGTTGGTTCAACAAGTTTCAATATTTCATCCAGTCGATTTTTGCATACTATTTCTGGAGAAAAAGATAGGAGAATTATCCTTTGGGCATCAGCATACATCAGCATTGATAAGAATATTGCATATTATTCACAAGCATTGTGCTGCCTGATCACTGCTACTTGGTACTTTCAATTGAAAGTTTAACTAATACTAAAAATTGTGTTGCTCTTTATCAAACCTGAAATGAAAATCTTGTAATATGTTTTAATAGGAATATAGATTTGGACACAACCGTATTTACTTTTTTTGTTGGGATGTTGATGTTTGCTGATCTTGGTTTCTTCTTTGAAGGTTTCAATATCAAAGTAGGTAGCATTATGAGTGTTACATTAATTTCTTTGGTAATTTCTCATTGGTTTCACAACTTCTTGATTTTAAGGTATAACATTATTCTCAATACATGGCTCCACAAAAACGTAGATTTTTAATAATCTTTAATAATAATATTTTTTTTATAATCCTACCTCTGCCACGGGATTTTGCTCCAGGCTTAATGATCCAAATGTTGTAAAGACCATCAATCTCTTGCTGTGGGTTAACTAGCCTGATTTTATGCAAAATATTTTGACACTGAATAAAATAACTGTCTGCATTACAAATAACTGCACCTTCACTGGAAACAAAACAAGAAAATTAAACCAACCATGTAATAAATTTGTATTCAGAATTATTACAATTACAGATTATTTGGAGTACAGTATAACATTTTAAAGAAAGGAAAATAGGATATAACTTCAAGTCCAGGATCCTTTTGGGAAAACAAGTCGATGTCAAAGTAGTTCAGATACACATTAAAATTGTTGGTCCCCCTATTTCTAGGGGAAGTGGGCAATTTTGAAAGCTTCTCATGAAAGGTCTATTGTGGAAAGGCAGGAGAAAAAACAAACACTTTTAGAAAGAAATATATTTTATGTTACAACTAATTCACCAAACAATTGTTGAATGCAAAAAGAATATAAAAGAAATCATAATGAGACTAAAAACAATTTAGACAATATAAACGAGCAAATCTCCAAATTAAATCTACAACTAGAAAACTCCCAGATAATGACTACAAAGTATGAACAAATAATCCAGAAATCAGAAGACGAAACAGAGGAAATGGATTTAGAGATGGAAGAGATAAATGAACTGCAAGACTTAGCTATAACAACGAAAATGCAAAAGACCTTTTACCCCTGCAAAATATATCTGATGGCAAAGAAAAAGATTTTTAAAAAGGGAATATAGAACTGTTAAGGGAAATTTCACACCTTGAGAGACAGGAAATGAAAAGAGAAATGGAGGGAGAAAGGAACTGGGAGTTGTTTAAGGAATATAAACGGGTGGAATTCCCCCCTAAAAATACCCTACCCAGATTATTTTCCTTATGCCAAGCAATTTTCACAAAAATAGAAAGAAAATTCCTGGGCAATCTAATTGCCCTGGCTTGGAAAGCGATTTGACAAAGAAAGAAAGTGAGAGTCAGATTTAAAAAACAGAAGACTTGACCTTCTAGAGGGGGTATTATATGTTTAAATATTCTTTTGAATAAGATTAAAAGAATGGAAGATTTTTAGAAATAATTAGATTTTTACAATGAATTATATGATTTAGAATTAAGAGAGCATTTTTTCTCTTTTTTTGATGTGGGAAATATGAAGATAAGAGGATTGATTTGAATAAAATTTTCAGCTATATAAATGTAATTAATATTGAAAAAATCATAACTGATAAGGATATTTCAAATACTGATGGGAAATCAAACTTTAACAAGCGCACGAAAAACAGGATATTGATTAATGAATTGACACTATTGATTTATGAATTGATATTATTGTTATTTGTATGACATTAGTAAAATATGATGAAGATGCTCATATCTAACTTTGTATACAGTAATAGTACCAAAAATTGTAATGATGTAATGAAGAGAAAATCGAAAAAATATAGAGAAGAAAGGAGAATCAGGGGGAAAATACTGGATTGTGTAGTATGAACAGATTTATATTGAAACAGTTAAATGTTAAATATTTGAACCCAGACAACATGTTGTTTACTAAGCACTAAAGACTGTAATTTTTAAAAATTAATAAAACTTTTATGAAAAAAGAGAGAAGTTACTTTGGCCATTTCTGTAAGTTCCATTGTTTTCACCAACCATTTCTCCATTATGGGTAGTACTGAGTCTTTCTACTTTTGCACATGTAATACTCTTGCTGCATAGTTCCACATGTGGAACCATGTGAGCTATAGAGACATTTTGGTATTGTCTTATGTACTATACTTGCTTAACATTTATCTCCGCTTATCAGCCATTCAAGAAGCCCAGGTCAAGAAAAAAGCACCAAAGATCCCAAAAATACTACTTTATTATCGTTGGGTATGATAACAGATTCTTGAAAATCAAGCTTCCTTCTGTCCCACCCTATACCAAACAAATCAAAACAGGATTATTTTGAATTGCTTTTTTACACTTCCTCCAATCTCGGGACTGTGTACAGTAATCTCTTGTGGAAGTCCCTTCTTAACAGTTCTTCAAAACTTCCCTAAGGTCAGTTCTACTTTTTTTTATATTCTTTATTTACAACATTTTATACATTGATACACAATTACACACAGAGAGAGAAAATTCATAGTGTGAAACCCTTCTTTGTAGAGTCCTTGGTACTTTCCAAATGTGGTTGTTTGCTTGTAGACATTTCATTACCCAATCAGCACTGTAATCAGCACTGATGATGTTACCTAGTTAAGTAATGAAATGTCTGCAAGCAAACAATCAAGTTCAGAGAGCACCAAGGACTTCATAGTTCAACCCTGAACCACATATATTCTCTTCTACTAAAAACTCTTTTTCCTCAACATGATGCATGGTGCTTATAAATTTGTTTTCTTTTTTTCTTTTCTTTTCTTTTTTCTTTTTTTGAAAGCCCTCAGATAGCTAAGGAAAGCTTACTAGATGAAGGAGATAAAGTTTCTGCTGGGTTTTGACTAGCAACCTCTTACATATTTGCACGTGTGAAATTATAGTTTCCACAAAGAAAGACCTATAAAATTAAGAACCAAGATAAACATAAAGCTGTTGATAATTTTCAGTTAACAGACAACAACACTTACTGAATGAGAGAATAGTAGTGGTCAATGAACTGATTCCATTCTGTTTCTGAAAGTACTGGAACATTATCTGTCTCTGCATCAATGTCTTCATGTTCAAATTGTTCAAGGTAGGTTTCACATATTTTGCATGCCATTTCTACAAGTTCTCCAGGAAGCTCCTTAACTTTCTTTAACTCATAATCTAGGAAATCAAGGCAAAATGTTTATCAATAATGGCACTCTGTATGCAGTTCAATCTATTTCTCCTTAAAGCTTCTTTGCAAGATCCCTGTAACATTTATGCAATTCAAAATGTGCAAGAAAAAATAAGTTTGGCAGATTTCATTTAAATCAACATTGAAAATAAAAAGGCAAACTGAAGCTGTCACAAATGGACATTTATTCAACTGTAGAAACAGCCACAATAGTAAAGAATACCTTTAACCTGAATGGCATCTTCTTTGTCACTGTTTTCTTTAGACGACCAGTCATCAGAAATATGTAAATTGACAACCCATTTAATTATGCAGAAGGCTGCTGTTTTTCTGAAGTCATCTGAAATACATGACATTTCTTTTAAGCAGCAAATTGTCTAAATGATAAAGCAGAGAGCAGAACTATAAGCATATGGTGAAAACATCACTAAATCCATCCAGAATCATAATTAAACTGCAGTTTAAGAGAAAATAAGTCATGGCTACAAGTGTGAAATGATTTGGAAACATCTCCAGATGCTTTTTCTCTCTAATTACTCTACCAACTGGTATAGTTCAGTCTTGATGCATGTCATTAGGAGGAGATCTTAGTACACTGTGAACAGTGGTGGGATTCAAATATGTGAACAACCCATTCTGTGTGTGGATGCTGCTTCTGGAAGTCCATTCTGGGCCTGGGCAACAAAAAATTAGCTGCCGGTTCTGCCGTACTGGTGCAAACTGGCTGAATTCCACCACTGACAGTGAATATTAAAATACTGGAGTCTTGGGAGGGGGGGTTCTTTTCAAAAACAAGAATAAGAGTTGTCTGTAGTAACACAACTAACAATTTAGTGCCAGTGCAAAAAATCTAGAGTACAATCTGTTTTTGTAAAATTGTAGGCCTAATATTGTCATACAACTTTTATTCCCTAACAATAATAAGATTAAGAATATGAAAGTTAATATTGAATCATTATTAAAATGAATACTAATTTAAGAGAAAGGGGTTAACTTGCAAGTCTGCTAGAAATAGTACATCACAAGTAGATTCTATTCAGTCTATTCAGATATTTCCACAGGCCCTCGGTTCCTGAGAATGGCCAGAATTAAAATTAAAAGTGATAACAAGTAAGTCATACATTCAAAAACCTAAAATTTGACTTTGGGGTCCTTCTGGCCATTCCTCTGATTGGTTCTAATCACAAGCAGTCAAGAAAAGAAGAAGCACATCCATCTTCAACATAGTTTTCCATTGTCTCTATTACACATCCTTCATTCCAAATCTGCTAAATAATTTTCTTGCTATTCTATTTTGCAGGATTTTTGCAAAAGAAAAAGAAAAGATGGATGCAGCCATGAAAAACAGGAGCTCATTATAATACTTGACTATCAAATAATTGGAGACTTTTGTGATAGTAGTAGTAGTAGTAGTAGTAGTAGTAGTAGTAGTAGTAGTAGTAGTAGTAGTAAAGTTGGAAGGGACCTTGGAGGTCATCTAGTCCAACCCCCTGCTCAGACAGGAAACCCTATACCATTTCGGACAAATGGCTGTCCAGTCTCTTCTTTAAACCTTCCAGTGATGGAGCATTCACCGCTTCTGGAGGCAGGTTGTTCCACTAGTTAATTGTTCTAACTGTCAGGAAATTTCTCCTTAGTGATATAGTCAAGTACAAAATTGTGCACAAAAATGTAATTTCAGATTTAAAAAGTTTAGGACAGATCAAGAGATTGCATAATCCTGTAGGAAAATAAACTGTTTTCTTAAATCGGTTTAGGAGAATTCTTAAATCATCTGCAGAAAGGAAAATTATTACATAGTTGTAAGTGAGTTTATGAAACATTCCTCCTTCAAGGCAATAAATGTCAGGAAAGCTGCAATTTTAACACATATTTAAAAGTTCTATTCATCTCAATGGATATTATTTCCAAATAAATGTAACTAAGATTGTAGTGCTGACTTATCAATATGGACATTTCCCTAATTTCCATTGAATTGGAATAAATGCTCAACAAATGCATGCATTGTTATAGAATTGTTATAGATTTTAGTTGCTTGTTGTCAGCCACAACAATAAAAACTCTTTCACTGGCAGGTTTTCAGGGCTAAAATGAAGGAAATTTAAAATAACTCACCGATAAAAGCAGATTTGTCATCATCTAAACAGATGGCATAACACCGAGGAAAGAAACTGTTTGGGTTCACTGACACATACCATGGCAAATTCCTCATGTGCAAACAGAGTCCTATCTGTAAGTAATATATATATATATATTATCAGTCTTTTATGGATAATAGTAAACTAGCTCTGTCCAGGAATAAGTATAGTTAGTATACCAACCAAAGTTGTTCACATACTTAATAATGCTTTGATCAGTGCTTCTCAATCTTGGCAACTTTAAGATGTGTGACTTAAGATATGTTCCCCTGGCTGGCTGGAGAATTCTGGAAACTGAAGTCCACACATCTTAAAGCTGCCAAAGTTGGGAACAGTTTATTGCAAGCATTTTATTGGAACTATCCTTGTGCTTGGTCTGCAAGCTGCAGCTGATACAGCATCCAACAGTCATATCACTATTCATAACCCACATCTGTTCATATCCCACATCTGTTGAAGTATCTGTCCTATTGATAATTAGTTGTTGAGCCAGAGTCAAGGGTTTGTTAATATATATAAAATATAAACATAAGTCATTGGACTAGTACCACCCTCTTAATTACAAACAGGGAAGATGTCTGAAATTGTCAATGGAGGTTTTGCTTATTATGTCTCGAGGACTATCCGGTGATTGATCATGGGCAAGTTTTCTTGTGCTGGCATCTAAACTCTACATTGCGTGTTCCCTGAAATCTGTTAAATGCCTCTGTTACATCCTCTAGATATTGTTAAAGAAGCCCTGTCTTTTCATTTTAGATCTTCTCTGGATGAACTTGGCTTCTGGTTTTGTTTTTCTTTCCTCCCCTCTTTTTTTATGTTTTCTCTCTCTCTCTCTCTCTCTCTCTCTCTCTCTCTCTGTGTGTGTGTGTGTGTGTGTGTGTGTGTGTGTGTGTGTGTGTGTGCGCACGCACGCGCGCACACACGCATGTGTAATATATTTAATTCATTTTATAGTTTCAATGTTTGCAATGGCTGCAAGGAAGATATGAAAAACAAATAGTGCTGTTAATACTAGAAGGAATACATGGAACTGGTGTGATCATTGTAGTTTTATATGTAAAACTTACAGTATAGTTGCAAATAAATAAATATAGTACAATTCATTTTATTACATATCTTATATTTTGTAAAGTGCTTTTTTTAATTTTATTGTGCATAAAGTGCTTCAAGGAACTTGAGTATATGTAACAGCATTAAAACACAGAGTCCTTTGTGCTCTCTGAACTTGGATTTTTTTTGCAAATGTTCCATTATCCAAGTAGATAATGCCATCGGTGCTGATGATCAACAAGCTCAGAGAGCAACAGGGGCTCCACAGGTCAACCCTGAGTTGCATACATTCTCTTCTATTGGAAGTATAAAATATACTAAATAATAATTACAACAACAGCAAAAGCATAGCTGATATACTGAGCAAAATTGGAATTGGCCCGCCCCATCCACGTTGGCAGAGGAGGCTTGCTGAGGGCCCCATTAGCCGGAGTATTCCAGCTGGTGGGGTCCAGGAGAAGAGCCTTCTCTGCCGTTGCTCCTGCCCTCTGGAACATCTTGTCCCCTGGAATGAGGTCTCCACCAGAGCTCCTGACCTTCTGTAAGAGCCTAAAGATCTGGCTCTGCCAGTTAGCTTGGGGCTGCAATGGGGGAGCATCACAGTGGTTGACTGATGAACCACCGATCCCACCTCTCTCCCATCCTACTCTGCCCTCCCCATTCTTAATTGGGATCCAGTATTTGGATCTTCACATTATTTTATTTATGTCTTTTAGCTTTTGCATAGTTTTTATCTTTTTATGATTGTAAGCCACCCAGAGTTATCTGTTGTAAGATAGGCAGCCAATGAATTTTGCAAATAAATAAATAGTAAATTATTGCTTCTGACCACTGGGCTCCAATGACAACAATTACTCTAGGAATAACCCTCAAACTCTGTTCTGCTTCTAATAAAGTGCAATTCCTTTTAGAGCAGGTAGTCCGCCTCCCAATTTCTATACCCAAGACGCACCCTCCACAAGAATTCAAAGCTTGTTTTATTTTTTATCTGAAGTATTTGTAAGATTGTTATGTATTGTAAAGTTGAAAATAAAAATTTTTACAAAAAAAAAAAAGAATTCAAAGCTACTTTATTTCCCATCATCCATACCTTCATTGCATCTAGACATAGGTTCAACACATGTCAAGCCTTTCCTAATTAAAGTGCTGTGGAATGGGGAGAATGTAATCAGCATATTGATGAAATTCCTGATGAGTGCTCTGATTGACTTCATATATATATCTTAAATAATGCAAGGCACATAATAGCACTACAAATCATCCCACAGTAGGATTCTCAGGGTTTAGAGGCACTGTCATCCAATGTTACTTTTTGAATCTATTCCAGCAAGTGGGAACAAGACTACTGTAATAAAAGCCCCAACTTATAGAAAAATCCAGTAGGATATCATAATTGGTAGAATCAAAAACCCACTGAAAAATCAGTCAGGTTTAATAGTAACACTCCCCAATTTTCTCCCCTGTAGGAGGTTATCTAACAGAAAAATTATGGTTGGTTCAGTCTCCAAACCAGACAATGAACCAGATCAAGAAGGTCAAAAAAATTGGTGCCCTCCAAGAATATCTGCAGTTGCCCAGACACAACCCCTCCCCTGCCAATAAAAGAACTGAATATATGATTGAATGGTACTGTAACTGGTGATAGCTGTTTCAGTAGTAGGTGAACCACTGCCTACTGTACTTTAAGACAAGCATTACCAGCTCTTTATCCAAAAATATATTCACTACTTCTTAGATTAGTGGTTCTTAAAATGGTTCCATTCAATTACCACACTTCCTGGTCTTGAATAATGTCATTACTCCCATGACACACATAAACACAAACACGCATACATACACCTCTGTTTTTGGCACAAATGGTCATTCCAAATCACAAACAAGAAATTATAAAGTGCCTCATTGCCCTCCAAATATGCCCAAATTTTTTCCCTGGATTTCTACCAATTTAAGAACCATTGTCCTAGATCAAACCAGTCAGTCCTCCTCTTAGCATGTATAACCCAAAATAAGTAAGAGTCAACAGAACCTGTGGTTGACTAAACACTATGTACATCCTCAGGCTCATAAATTGTAAGTCCATTCTTATCACACACATCATAAATCAGCTACCAGGAGCATGGCAAAAATATATCCTATCACAGACTGATTACCCTATATGCCTCCTTTTCTCTACCACCATCATTTTATGTGTGAGTACAACAAGCTCATCTGAAACCCTCTGAAGTTATGAGGCTGATCTTCAGGCCTCCTAGAAATATGTCTCTCTTATGTCAGATAGTTAAATTACTCCAAATGAAAAATAATGTAATATTAATTTTATTCTTCCCTTTTAACCCACTGTTCTCCATCCCTCACTCTAAAATCATACATGAAAAAGTCATCTTTCACCATTCCTATATTACCTATGAATTTTCAACTCAGATTTAATCTATTCTACTTCAAATATTCCAATTTGCTCATAACTTGAGTCCTCCAATGCAGACAACTCTAAGATCAAATTATACAATTTCCAAAATAATAAGCTTGCAATGGATTCTTTTTTTTTATTGAAAATTTTTAAAATTTTTACAAATAGAGAAAAAAAAGGACAAAAAACAAAAAACAGCCCTACCCAACCACCCCAACCCTCCCAGTCCATCCCCCCAAACTTCCCAGAGCAGAATATAGGCTTAATTAAAATTTCTAAAAATCTTTAAAAAATTAAAAAAGTATAAACCATAAATATATCTAAATACATTACATAAACTTATAAGATAATTAACAATAATATATATGTAAAACAAAAAAGAAGCATAAATATTAAAAAAGAAAAATGCTTAAAAAGAAAAGGAATGAAAAAGAAAAGAAAGAAGAAAAGATATATATATATATATATATATATATATATATATATATATATATATAAAAAGAAGTAAAATAAGATGAGATAAAAATAAAAAATATAAGGAAAGAGAAGAAAAAAAATACAATCTATAAAATATTAAAATTTATATATAGGTTATTGAAAAACTAAGTAATATTTTTTTATATCCAACTTATGTTGTATAAAATCTATCCATTTTTCCCATACCGCAAAAAACTTCTCTTGCGATTGATCCTTTAAAAAAGCCGAAATCTTTGCAATTTCCGCCAAATAAGAAACTTTAAAAAACCATTCTTGCAAGGTAGGCAAAGATTCCTTCTTCCAGTATTGCCCTACTAACAACCTTGCGGCTGTGATTAAATTTAACATCAGTATAACCTCATTAGCATCACAATCAGTAACGATACCCAACAAAAACAATTGTGGGGTAAATTTTACCCTCCTTCTAAAAATTCTTTGAATATTCCACCATATCTTAATCCAAAAAGCTTTTATATTTTTACACGACCACCAAATATGATAATAAGTAGCATCCAAACAACCACATCTCCAACATTTAGGCTATAAGTCAGGATACATACGAGACATTTTTTGTGGATCAAGGTGCCATCTATAAAACATTTTGTAAAAATTCTCCCTTAAGTTCTGGGCTTGTGTAAATTTAACATTCCTCACCCAGATGGTTTCCCAAGTATCTAGTAGAACTGGTTCACCAAAATTTTGTGCCCATTTGATCATACATTCTTTAATTAGTTCTGGTTCTGAATCCAGTTCTACTAGCACCCCGTAAATTCTCTTAATATGAGTTCGCCTTTGGTCTTTTACTTGTTTAAAAAGGTTTTCATCTTCTCTAAGCAAGCCCATATTACGATCTATCTTCCATCTATCCGCTATTTGTCTATACTGAAACCATGAATATGTAATATTTTCATGTGCTAAATCTTCCAAAGATTTTAACTGCCAATTTTTACCATCCCATCTGAGTAATTGTGCATAAGAAACACTATCCATCTTAACTCCTCTCCTTATCTCCTCTATCGCATGCCAAGGTATAGCCCATAATGGTATTTTAAAATCACTTTTATAATATTTCCTCCAAACCTGAAGTAAAGAAATCCTTATAATATGAGATTTAAAAACCCGGTCAACTTTTTTATTAAAAATTAAATAGGCATGCCA